CCTTCATGATTTATTTTAGCTTTCGCGCAAATATCAGTTAACTTAACTCCATTATTTGATTTTGTGATGGCTTCACAAAGCCAATCAATATCAATCTCTTCTGGGAATGTCTTCTCATCTAGAATATTTTCAATACTTTACATACAAACATTTTTATTTCTAAAAAACTTTTTAATTTTTTCTAGGATATATGAATGAAAATAGTTAGAACAAGATTTTGAAGCTCAAAACATTAAAAATTATTAAAGATTTGTATAATATGATTAAAAATGGGAAATAATATGAGGCAATATAAAGGAATATGAATATTAAATAAATATATCTAAATAGAAAGAATCAGAAAAATCAAATTATTGGCGCCAAAAATGTCACTTTTTTAGTGAGCCATTTCGGTATGAGATAGTTTTTGGTAGAATACATTAAATCAGGAACTATTCCAGAAGGTTTTTACATTCATACTATGAAGGATGGTAGAGTTCAGTTTAGAAAGATAAAGCAACCATTAGATAAAGAAGGAATTTTGAGAAAGATTAAACTTCATGAGGACAACATTGCTGAACTTAAGAAGAAGCTAGAAGAGTTGGAGAAAGGAAGAGAGTTATAAAGCAATGAATTCAACAGGGTGAAAAAACAGGTGAAAAAAGAGGTGAGATCTCACCACTTCACCTAAATTTATTTTTGTGCTATGTTTTCATACGTGTGAGGGTGGTGATATCATTAATTTTTAAGTTTATTTTTATTTTATTTTTTTATAAATGACAGAACAAAAGCAACTCATACAAATCGAAAAATATAACAAACATCTCGTAAACGAAAAAGGGGATTTGACGGAGTCAAATCCCCACTCACAAAAAGTGGACTTTACATGTCAAATTTTATATGCATGTAATGTCCACTTTTATGAGTTTTAGGAAGGAATTGGAAGCCATGAGTTACTGACATTGCATCAGTATCTCATAGCCTCCAATTCCTTCAAAAAATGGGAGAAACTTTGGGTTAATAGTTTGCAAACTATTAACCCAAAGTTTTGGAACTTTCAAGTGGAGATGGAAGGCTTTGGGGTATATATTAATACAATATACCTCAAAGCCTTCCATCTCCACTACAAATGGGAGAAACTTTGTCCGAATAGTTTAACATTCGGACAAAGTTTCTCCCATCTTTCAATGTAATTGCTACCTGTGAGGTACTGACTTGAAGTCAGTGCTTCACAGGTAGCAATATCCAAAAATTTAAAAACATTTTATCAGTTCGTTAAAGAACTAGAGCCTCCTAGGTACTGAACCAGAATCAGTGCCTAGGGGACTCTAGTGATCTATATAAATCTGAGAAACTTTGAGGAAATTGTTCGACATTTCCTCAAAGTGTCTCAGCAATTTAGCGAGGAATGTTCGTTATCGTGTAGATATTTATAATATATACATGATAACAAACATTCTCCGCTAAAAGATGTAAAATCTTATAAGAAATAATTGCAAAAGAATAACAAATTGCAACAAATTTTATATGAAACTGAACCTTATGAGGTAGTGATTCAAGATCACCGCCTCATAAGATTCAGTTTCAATCTCAAGTATCTCAAAAGTAAGGCTCTATTTTTTGCCATGTAAAGTGTCACTTTTTCTGTCAAACCATTTTTATTGTTTTCGTTTACAACAAACATACATTTAAACATTTATTCTTCCTTCCTGAGTATAACATGTTCTTTACACTTCATCCTAGACCAGTTGACTATACATTGACTGTGTATAAAGATTGTCATGGTAGTTTTATAAAAACTTATGATGATGAAGGTAAGTTAACAAGACTATGCATTTCAAAACTTGAGAAACTTTATGACTTCAAGTATGACTACAATAGAGTTAACATTGACGATGAAGATATAGAAGAAAATTTATGAGAACGTTTATTTTTTCATTAGTGAGTTCGTTAGTGAGGTGAAGTGGTTGGCGGTTTTGTAAATATTTAAGGTTAAGTTAGTGTTGTCGTTTGTGTTGTAAAATATACGTTAGCGGTTTTGTAAAGTGTCAAATTCACATATAACGGGTAAGGTGGAACACAGTGCCACCATACCCAACTAACCCATACTAACTTTCGTTCTCAATAATTAACTTATAAATTTTTTAAAGCAAAAAAAGTCTGATTTTTTTTGACAAGTAAATATATAGGGAATTTATCCGACCAAATAAGTGTCACTTTTTCAGTTCGCCTCACTTTCCGTAACTCGTCTTACAACAGTTATTATGAATTTTCAATTGGAAATTTCTTAACATGTCTTATAAATATTTATATAATGTTATGTTAAAACAAAATTTGATAAAATATATTTGAGAATTCTTTTGAAAAATTGTTAAATAAAAATGAGAAAATTAAAAGGAGAAAATATATGTTTAATATTTTTTAAAAAACTTTACATAATGTAAAGTGTCAAAAATGAAGTGGGACATTTTTTCATGCATTATAAAGAATTTAAAAACGAAATCAAAGGCTGTTAGGCACTGATAATGTATTTATATTTCACAGCCTTTGATTTCTTGTAGAAAGCTGGGAAACTTTCTTCAAATGATAAGTTATTCGAAGAAAGTTTCCCAGTATTCTAGTGGGACTTGCCCCTTATGAGGTATATATTCTTACTATATACCTCATAAGGAACTGTTTTGCGTGTCAAAGAGGGAAGTGTCACTTTTTAGTTTACGTGTCATTTTTTCCTTTTTTAGTTTTTATGATTTACTTATAAATAATGAATATGAAGCTGCGAAGTGTTGACCTCGAGTCATTGCCTCGCAGTCTCATATTCTTTTATGAAATATATGCATACTTGGAGTTAATGCGAAACAATTAACCCCAAGTTTGAAGACTTCAGAGAAAGAATGAAAGAGAAAGAGGTATATGTTGTTACCATATACCTCGTTCCCTTTCATTCTTAAGAGAAATGCGTGAAAAATTGTCTGAATGTGAAACTATTCAGACCATTTTTCATACATTTCTATGAGATATTGGAGGATGGGAAGTGTATATCATAGCTATACGCTTCTCACTCTCCAATATTCTCTCATCTTTACTATAAATGAAAGAAACTTTGTCTGCGTTATATCTTATGCAGACAAAGTTTCTTCCATGCAGAGAGGGAATTAGAGGCTATGAGGTACTGATCATATATCAGTACCTCATAGCCTCTAATTCCTTTTTTTCGCAACCAAAAACTCAATTATGCTATTAAAATCTGACATTGTAAAGCATAAAATGACATTTGTAAACCTTCCCTCTTTGACACGCAAAACAGAACAAGTCCTTAAATCAGCCCTACAAAATCCATACATATATTTAAAAAATTGTCATGTAAACCAAAAAGTGACAGGATGTAAACCTTGACCATTTGACAGGCAAAACAATAAGTTTCATTATTTTCATTGTATTTTATTGTTATTGTAATGCATGAAAATTCGGTTCAATTCATTTTTGACACTTTACATATCGGATGTATTATCTAAGAATTATATTATAAAATAATAATTTTGTGTTTTATAAGTTTATTTGTATAAATTGATTCAAAAAAAATGGAAAGACAAGAAGTGGATCTGCCAAATGAAAATCAGATTTATATTACGGCATATCTTGAATATTCTATTGGCAAAAAGACAGCAGACCAAGTTGCAAAAGATTTGCACATAGGTAGAAAAAATTATTATTAAAATGGCAAGAACTTGGTTTAAATCCAAAAAAGCTCGGAAGACCAGAAACTCCTCTTAGAACAGATTTGTTACCAACCATTCACGAAATAAAAGCTAAGTACAATCTAGGTTATAAAAAAGTTTTAGAGAGTTACATACATGATGACACAGTTTCATTTCACGATATGCTTAAATTATACGAAAAAGAAAATCTTTTCAAATTTCGGCGAGATCCAGAAAAAATTGATGAACATCCAAATCAGTATGTTTCCCAATACGTAAATCAGCAATGGCATACTGATTTAAAAAACTTCAAAGAAGAGATAAATGGTACCAAGCATACTTATCATTTAATTGCCTTTATCGATGACAGATCTCGTTTTTGTATTTATTACGAAATTCTTCCCGATAAAACAATGAAATCAACTTCAAAAGCTTTACAAAATGCTATCGACTCTATCAAAATTATTCCATACGAACTTTTGACAGATAATGGATGCAAATTTACAGGAAAGGACTTCAAAAACGTTCTTCAAGTAAATGACATTCAACACCATCGGACAGAACCTTACACACCACAGTTAAATGGTAAAATAGAACGTTTTTGGCAAACAATCTTTTCGGCTCGCCCAGATTTTATCGAAATAAGAGAATTTTTACCTCACGCAATAGAAGAATACAACACAGTATGGGTTCATACAGCTCTTAAGGGTGCCCTATAGACGATAGCTCCCCCTCAGAAAAATACCCTTAAATAAAAGCAATGCTTTTCGAGACCTATTTTGGTACCTCCAAAAACATTTTTCTCGGCAAAAAATCAAGTTGATGTGTTTTGTTTTGTCATCGTAGATACTCTAATTTTCGCCCAGTAATGTTATATAAAAGGAGCTTTTTTGTCGAAATGCAAAACAAAATTGACCGTTAATGTGGTGAATTATCGATTTTTGGTACAGCATACTTTCTTATCAATGAATAAATGCAGCTACTTGATAAAAGAGTCTTCAAAAGCAACTTTTGAAAAAAATTCCTTATTTACATCAAGAGCCGAATACTTTTACGATGAATATTAATAAAATTTGTCGGTATTTATTCTTACAGATTATCAGATCACAAAAGCCAAAAATTGTTTATTATTTTTTTCAGAATAAAAATTTCGAATGTATCAATTATATCAAATACATACATTTTATTCATACATTACAAATGAAAGATTTAATTTTTGAAAAACCTAAATTTTTTCGAAAATCAAATATTTCGGTGTATTATATGCGCCTTTGTTTAAATTATTCGCCAATTCCTCATCACGAATGTAAGATATTTTGGTATTACAAAAGAGAATCCATGAATTGATGTTTTCGTCCAAAATAATAATATTATATTGTCGACTGTGATAAGTTATTATGGCTACTGGTTTGGATTTTACAGCTGGATTGTTATTCCATGTGTAATCATCCAATGGAAACGTAAAACCAGCAACATCAATAAAAAGATAATCTGAAAAAGTAGGAGTAACTTGAAGTTCGTTATTATTAACAAGAGGAATGTCAATTTTATCTGTAAATCTCCAGCAGAATTTTTTGAAATAATCAATAAGATCTAGTTGCCTAGCTTCACATGCAAGCGATTCTTGTAATTGTTTGAAAGCATCAATTGGATCAGCTTGATGTATCTTTTGCCGTTTCGAGTACAGGTGATACAGATAAGTAACATCTGCATTTTCCGAAAAGTTCCGATTTGTGAGCGATAATATTTCTTTGTATATTAACTGTTGCTCATTGGGATTAGAGAATAATTCGTCACATAGTTTGTGCATTAATGGTCGAAATGTAATAAGTTGAACAATAACGGCAAGAACACTGAGATTTTTTCCAAGCTTGATACCAAGCTTTTGTTTTTTAGGCTTATTATGAGTTTTTCTGAGTGTCTGTGGAAGTTGTATCAAATCAGGATGAAAATCTGCTATCATTTCAAGAGATGGTGGATTGTGGCTGAGGACGTTAAGATAATTGATTGCGTTTATCTTAATTTTCTCAAAGTTATGAAAATCAGTAAAAGCTGAATTCATAATTTCTAATGCTTGCTGAGAATCGTAAACTGCAACAGCCGAGATGTTTTCTTCATTAATACGAATTAAGGATGGGCACTCATTAGGGTGATGAAAAAAATCAAGTCTAGCAAAGTCAATATATTAAAAACAGTGAAGACTATTATATAGCGTTATAGTGCACAAGCTCAAATATTTAGTGATGCATTTCTCGAACTTATTTTATTTATAACTTAACCTTGAAACATGAATTTTAGTATATCATGAGCATATTTTTTCTAATTTTGCAATACTTATAATATCATACCAGGATTCATGTGGAAGTCTAATATTTGGTATATAATATTCTTACAATAAATGTATTAATTCAATTATATTCAAAATGATGGGTCGCAATTTTTACTGAAATTGCAAATTTAATTTCAACAATGAAATTATTGTTTAAAAAAAATAGCACAACAGCAAGATGGACAATCATATATAGAATTATAATGCTCCATATAATGCTTTGATTTGATGCGTATATAATGTTATTTTTCGAACATCTTTGTAAAAAATTGATTTTTGTAATTTTTGAAAAAATTCGATTTTATTTCGAGATTTCCTCTATAGGTGAAATATATTGAACAATATTCCTATGGGAGAAAATAATTGTAAGTATGAGTACTTTCATTAATACTATGGGTGCCATGGTTATCGCTCAAACGATCAAGTTATATCTCGATTGCGTAAATTGAAATTTTGCTATTTTCTAAATTCACGGCAACAACATTCTTTTATCCTGATCGTACATCACAATATTTGAATGTGCGACCATTTGTTCAAGAAACCGTCAAGTTATTCTTCATTTTTCATGCCGCGGCGAACAAAAGCAGTTGCAAAGCGTATAAAGAACTTAGTTCAAAGCGCGAAAAATAGGGTAGAGCCATATGTCGTCAACACTGTTGAATTTGTGCTATCTGTATTATTGAGCGGCGCTACATTTTGCCAATCAGAATTTCAATTCATGCTGAATAACATCAAAGTTCCGTCAGAAGCTACATTTCATCGAGTCCAAGAAAAGGTTGGTCGTGTTATCATAGAAGTTGCCAGAGAATCTGTTAATTATTGGAAATCTCGAATGAGAAAATGTTCGGGACTTTTGTTTGACGGTTCTTGGAGTCAGAGAAGAAATGCAATGTTTTGCTATGTACAATTTGTAGAAGAGAAACTCAAAAAAATTGTAGATTGGGAAGTGATATCTAAATCTTTTAAAAATTTCAAAGGTAATTTCAACGGAAAATCAAATGAAATGGAATTTGAAGGCTTAAAAAGAATGCTGAAGCGTTGGAATAATGAAAAACGTGTAAATTTTTTTGTGCATGATGGCGATGTCAAAATTGTTTCTACAATCAAAAATACGTTCAAAGGTATCAGAGAATACAGAGATCCTGGACATTTTCTTAACAATATACAGAAAAAGCTCAAACTGCCAGAATTCAGAATCTTATCTAGCATTTCAAAGAATTTATTGCGTTGGCTTAGGCAACTTCTCAATGACACACATATGTCAATTAAAACAAAGAAGTTTTTATGGTTGAATTCCGCTAAACATTATGCCGGAAATCATAAATTTTGTCCAGATCCTGAAAAATGCAAGATGATTAAACCATGGAAATATGCAAAAAATAAAACTGCTATAAAAACACTTAAAAAATTCCTCGAAGATACCGTAAAAATCTTTGATATGGTAAAAAAGATTCATTCAACTCAAGTAGTTGAATCGATAACCCATATCAAAGCAATGCTTGCTAATAAAAATATTAATTGGCATGCTTCTTGGCCAATTAGGATGGCAGTCACAATATTGCATTTCAATGAAAGTATGTTTGAAACGATTGTAGCAATAAGATACAGGTTAAATTTACCAACAATGCCAGAAATGATGAACAGATATTTCAGAATGTATGATACAACAAAAGATTTAATCAAAGCATTCAAAAATTCAAAGCAAGTTCAAAAAAAGTTTGCGGCATTAAGAGCTATAAAGAGAGGTCTTCAAGCTACCGATGATTGTATTACTCTTAAATCACATAAATAATTATTAAATTTATTTCACCCTCAAAACATCATAATCTTGCACCTTCTTTGAATAAACGCTTTCACCTTCTATTTTTAATTAATGTTTTTTAATTGTCCAAAATTTTTAGATTATATAAGATATAATTTTTTATAAAAGTATTATTTTCTAAAAGATAAGTATATATTCTTAATCACAAAACCTAGCATTTTATCATATCTATATATCAGCTTCCTAAATATAATACTCATATAGTTAGTATGATTTTAATGTTTTTGAACATGAAACGAAAATATGATTACAATCATATAACATAATGGAGTTATTGATATAACTTATATGCATGATACATTAAGAAGTCTTCCAACAATATAGATATAGTTGTAGATTCCTATGATTCCTTTTATATTGTGAGATAATAACATTTTTATGCTGTCAGGAGCCTATGAGTGCCCATCCTTAAAGACGAGTACGTATTATAAAGATCTTGTTTAAATTTGGATAATAAACTTTGGAATTCTTGAGGATCATCTGGAATTTCCTTCGCCTTGAAGAAAAATGAAAACCTTTTCCAATCTGGTGGTACTTTGATATCGGAACCAAATATAGATTTTTTGTTGAATTTTGGATAATCTGTTGGAAGTGAAAGATTTTCAGATTCTGACGGTTCTTCATCCGCTGGCGGATCCTCATCGTCAGTGTATTCAATTTTTTCGGATCTGGATCCATCTTTTGACGGTTTATAAGGAACTAAGTCAGCAAATTCTGGGTCAATTTCATCTGGAATGTAATGAACGCATCTGTTATGATTTCTGTAGTTTTCCGAAGTTCTTCTGATATGGTCATAATCGGATTTATTTTCGAAATTTAATATAACTTGTAAAATATCTTCATCAAAATAAGAATCATCTATACCCATTAATCTTCTTAGTTTTGTCTTCCAATTGTCTTCATTATACGCAAATACAGAAACAAAAATTCTGGCTGGAAATCCAATAATCCAAGGAAGATTTTTGGGGACTAAATGGGCTTTCAATGAATTGAAAGCTTCGTTGAAATTTGTATGATATTGTTTGCTGATTCTTAGAAACAATGGAGCAATATTTGTAATAATTTCTCTTTTTTCGATATGCTCTGGTGATTCTCCTGGATATCTATTAATTAATCCTATCCATCTCTGAACCTTTTGCTCTGGTTTTAATTTTGGGCATGCAAAAAGGATCCTAAATATTTTTTCAAATTTAGGATATTTAGTGACAATTTTTGAAAATGCTGATTTTATCACATGATTTGGATCTCTTACATGTGATAATTGTGCACCAGAATTTTCTATCATTGTTGAATCTTTAACATCACCATCTGAGCAAAAAACTTTTATTTTTTTCCATAAATCAGATTTCAACATATCACGTAATGCATAGCTTTCCATTAATCCTGGTGAAATTTTTGGTTCAACCAAAATTTTGGGACTTTTGAATTTTATTAATTCTGGATGCCTTGAAACTATTCTAAAATCTAATATTTTGTTTGTATTTATATCTATAAGCGTAATGACGGCATGTAAAGCATCGCGCTTAGAACTCCATGCGCAATCTAATGAAACATTAAATTTGTATTCTGAATCATGTTTAAGAATTTCTTGTATATTAGCTTCACAACTTGCTGTTGCAACTTTCTCAAGATCTGGCAATATGCTCTTTAGATGCGCAAGTAATGTAGTTTCTGTTGGGCAATGAAAGTTTAGGAGTGATGCCAATTCGATGTGTTTTGAAAATCCTGCACCAGATATAAGAGAAATGTAAGTACTTTTTTGGCAGTCATCAGCTTTATATGTTATTAATATCTCTTCAATTGTGTATCCTTCCATGATTGGAATAGAATACTCCATAGGAAGAGCTAAAATCCCGCCAAATTTTACGGTTTTTTAATACAAAAGTAATCAAAGTGAATAAAGCAAAGATATATATTGTATTTAATCAGTCAATTGATATTGGGTAGAATATATGCTCAATATTTCATTTTTCAAATTTATTATTTCAAAAAACCAATAATTGGCGACATTGTTTACTGTAATAATTATTTTTAATGAAAACACTATATGCCTTCCTTATTTTCTTTCTTTTTTATTTTTTTTTTGAAAAAATCAAAAAAACTCGAAAAAAAAATCAAAAAATCACAAAATCGATGAATTCTCAACGTCATTTAAATCTTCAAAATCGTAGAGATTGGTCATAATATAACTAAGCATTATGATATGGTAAAGTTCAAAAAATCTCTCTTGAACGAGATAAAAGCTTAACAGAAATAACCTTAAAAGTGCTTTTCTGAGGGTGGTCTATCGTCTATAGGGCACCCTTAAAGATCTTTTCGGTGGAAAACCTACTCCAAAATCAATTTGGGACCAGGGTCCTAAATGGACAAAGGACTTAAACCCAAATCCTGAGTTCGAAATACAGCCTCGTAACTAAAAATAAAGTAAAAATACGAATAAACATTTTATTATAATTTAAATATTTTTTTATTCATAAAGTAATACGATATATAGCTAAGCTATGTAAGGATATTCTGATGCTGAGAGTTTAAGAACTTTAAATTACGTATAGAAAAAAAATCATTTAATATTTTGTAACATTTTTTAAATTGATAGATAGTTAGATTTTGTAGGGGAAGGTAAGATTCTTTGTGGAGAAATTGTATAAATTTGCATAGTGTTAGATTCAGAATAGGAGCATATGATCCAGTGATTGTGTCTAATGGTTTTAAGGTGCTAATTGGAAGTAGAAAAAAATTGTTGCAATAACATCATATTGCAAAAAAGTTTTTAAAATATGATGTATGAATAAGAGTATGATTGGTATAGTTT